CATTCATGTACCTTAAATATTCTTCTCCTGGATCTATGGAGCAGGGAAAAGTTTCTTCTGTTTTTTAAACTAATGTGGGACCCATGCTCAGTCCTCTGATTTAGTTTGAGGAACAAAGATGTCAGAGTTGCACTGAGAAAATCCCTGTTTAAAATCCAGAGGAGAAACATGTTCTAATTACAAACAACAATAATGTAAAGATATTCAATTTTTATTGTCTTCCAAGATGATATTTGTTCATAACTGTGTTTCTTCTACAGATTGTGTTATATGTGGTATAATAGACTTGTCTCATCACTTTCCTTATAGCTTGTCTAACTTTTCCTACTTATCTCTTGCACCTTGTACCAGTTTCCTAAATAACTAGTAGCATCTTTATAAAAGGAAAATATGAACTGATTTTTTTCATACTATCTTTGTCTCCTGGGCTACTCCTAATCTGGACAAATATGGTGAGTTTCATAAATACATAAAGTTAAAATTAGAGCTTGCTGTTCTAGACACAGAAATGCCCAAACACTGCAGAATAATTGTCTTTTAAAACAATATAGTTCCTGGTATAGGAAGAAGGATTCAAAGAAATGTCTTCATTGCAAATTGCATATAGAGCTTAAAGTAGGATCAGATCCTTCGGATGTTATCATTTTGTTCTATTTTTCATACCACTTTTCCTTTTATTATTATTACTTTTCTTGTTCCCTTTGAAAATGGCCAAATCTGTTTTACATGCCACCTGCTTCTGAGAACCTCTATAAGGCAAATGCCTTCAGTATTGAAGAGAATACATATAACACCACCATTTATTGCCAAACATGGCATTAAGAGAGGATGATTAGAAGAATAATACATATGTATCTCAGGATCCCAGTAAGCATAATGGGTGGTTTATTATAAAATTTGTGTTTATTACTCTCTAAAATGACACCAGATATTTTGAAAAAAGCACATGGTTTTACTGTCAATTTTGTTTTTTATCACTTTAGGAAAATACTACACATGGTGGTAGGAGAAACATTTTAGCCATGTTTCACTTATCCAGTGAAGTATCATGAAAAAAGTTGTGTATTAATATAGTAAACCATATTCCTAGCAACATTTTTTGAACATACTTAAACCTCGTCTCACCAGTAAGGCAATAAATACATTTACCTAGATGCTTCTCCCTATAATTTCCCTATTTCTCCAATGCTTTTCCCATTCATATATTTAGAGTATCAAATATAGTGGTAGGTCAAAAATATTCTTGTTGAATTGGATTATCTTGTTTGAATAATAACAGTAATAAATTTAATGTTATAAATAATAATTAATAAAATATAGTAATAAATGACAATAACAAAAAATAAGTCAGAAAGAACTTTGGGGTATAATTTCTTTTGAGGAGTAAAGTGTGGCAACCATAGAGAGGTGCTGCTAACTCCCTTCAGTAGAGCGACCTGTGGGGAGCATCATCTACTGTCTATAGCCGATACTCCTTTGGATCCACCATAGTGTTCAGGCAGAGTCCATGCTTACTCTAAGATGGCCTCAGCCAATGGCTTAGCATGGTGGGTCATGCCGGACCTGGCCAATTTCTTTGTAATGTGAATCTCTTCTGATAGGCAGTCTTTGTTTAGGGACTTGCTATCATCCTATTTGAGATTTTTTTGAACTGCACTGTGGTCTGAGGTTTTCCTACCCAATCCTTTCTTCTCTCTCTCCTTTCGTAGGTATCACACTTTCATCCTGGTCTGAAGGCTTTCTCACTGACTCCCACTCATTCCCATTTTATCCTTCACAGGCACTTACCACAATAAATGTCTTGGAAGTCTAATCGTTTCTTAGCATCTGTTTCTTGGAGAACTCTAAAATGACATAGAGGACTTAACACTAACTGATTTTAAACCTTAGTTTTAGGATATGGTAATCCAGACAGATTGGTTTTGTTATAAATATAGATAAATCCATGGGACACAATAGAATATTCAGAAACAGATCCTCACTTATATAGTTGATTGATTTTTAACTGAGCAACTGTGTAAATCCATAAGTAAAGAAAAATCATTCTAAGCAATTGATGCTGGAAATACTAACTACTCATGAGGAAAACAATGAACTTTGATCTCTACCTCACATCATACACAAAAATTAATTTTAAATAGATCAAAACTATACACATGAAACTTTAACATAAACCTTCTAGAAGAAAACATAGAAAAGTATGTCAGTGTAGGCACAGATTTCTTAAACATGTTCTGGAAAACACTAAATCTAAAAGAAAAAAAAGAGAAAATGAGTTTCATTTAAATTAGAACATCTGTTTATCAAAAAAATATTTATAGGCAAGACACAGACTGGAAGAATATTTGCAAAACATATATTTGATAAAGGTATTGTATCCACAATATATAACAAATTAATTAAAATGTATCTCAGTGATAAAAAGATATCATATATTGGCAAATAATTTGAAAGACACATCCCAAACGAACATATGTAAATAGCCAATAAGCACATGGAAATGTGCCTAACTTGGTTAAACCCCCTTATGTATAGTGAATAGCTGGACAACAGTTCCTTAACAGCTGTAGTATCCTCCCTCACTTTATTGCCCAGACTTTGCCCCTTGAGTGGCTCAAGCACTTGTCAGGCCTTCTTCTTGGTCTCCCTCCATGTTGGGCCTTGCACCCTCTTGGAGCCTCTATTGCAGAGGTCCAAGCACCAGCTGTGGGGCATCTCCAAACCCTCCATTAATCCAAGCACCAATCCTATAGAGCTTCTCCTCTTAGATTCTAAAATCTGGTTATGCTTCTTATTCTTTCTGTTTGTTCTATCAGTTCTGGGTAGCTATTTTTTATAGGTTATTAGTCTTTATGTTTTCTCTGCTTCATCTTTTGCTCTTTCCTCCTTGCAATGTCTATATATCCAATTATCTTTTTTTTTTGCGGTACGTGGGCCTCTCACTGTTGTGGCCTCTCCCGTTGCGGAGCACAGGCTCCGGACCCGCAGGCTCAGCAGCCATGGCTCACGGGCCCAGCCACTCCGCGGCATGTGGGATCCTTCCGGACCAGGGCACGGACCCGTGTCCCCTGCATTGGCAGGCGGACTCTCAACCACTGCGCCACCAGGGAAGCCCTGAAACAGGGAACACATTTTATGTGATTTTGTTGGACTCACTTGCCCATCTCACAAGACATATCCTGTCTAATTAGCACATGCCAAACCCTGATGACAGTGATTAGTCAGAAATAGTCATTTGACTACAGTCTTTGCTGCCAAAATTATTTAAACCAACTGTTCTTCTTGTAGTTACTGAATTGGTAAGATTAAATCTAGGGATTCTAGTAGTCCTGTTTTCACTACATGGGGAGAGTTCATCTGAGGTTAAAATGCAGTAGAACCAAGCAGACAAAACGCGTGGAGAGAGACACGCCTCCATGAATGGTTGGCCCTGTCCAGCCAAATAAAAGGCCATGTATTATTCATGACTTACCAGTTTCACACACTTTGGAATTATGTTGGTTTATGTAGGCAAAATATAGTTGCAGGCATGACACATGCCTTGTAGTCTGAATGTGATATCCAATTTCCCAGCACACTCTGCTGGCAGTATGAGTCAGTAAAATGCCTGGCTCAGTCTGTGAATCAACAGACTTACTTTACAGGTTGACTTTATATTCTTTTGATCAACATGGCAAAGATGATCATTTAAAATTATTAAAATCACAACTCATATAAAACTAAAATGATTAAAACTTCAATTGTAGTGTTTTAAAAATAACTATAATTATAGAATTTGAAGTAAAAATTATTTCAATATATCAAGCATTTTTAAAACACCTTTAGGATATTTGGAAGTATTATGTCCATAACTTGATGAATTTCTTGAAGATATGGGTAGATATGGCTTTATTATCCTTCTGTATATGCTGCATAAATACAATTTTAATTGGGAAAAATGTTTGTTTTCTTCATGCGGAATCCCCAGATGAATTCACATTAAAGGCATCGAGCCTAGAGTATATCCTAGACAGATGATCTTGGAAGGGTAAGAATAGAATGTGTCTGACGTGATGGCATATACCGTACTTTGGCCAGCGTCAAGAATGGTCAGCCAAGTGAGGCACTCACTGCTCTATTTCAACAGCCCGACCAAAAAGGCACTCCACCACCGGCTTACCAGCTACAGCAGCCACATGCAGAGGGGTCAGTGCCTGTGGTGGACCAGAGTCCCACAGGGATGCTGGGGGATTCTGTTTCAGGTGCCCAGGAGCACAGTGCTTGGCCTGTGGTGGATGCCAGGCAAGGAGTCCTGATGTTCGCAGCTCCAGGCAGATGCCCTAGTCTCTGGCTCCCCATTTCACATACTTCTGTCCATCTCCAGCCAATTTATCCTTTTCGTGGTATCTAAACTAGCTGAAGTGTGATTGCTCTAAGAATGCACAAGCCTTCTGCAAATTGGGTTTCTCTGTTATTTTGAAATATTTGAAATGAAAAAGCGAAATTAGTTCCAAATTTGTTGAACGTTAAATTTGTCAGTAAAAAGAAAATTACTCACATTATTTAAATATGATTTCAACGGCAAAGTTTTAAATGGTGGTAAGAATGATCTAAACTCTACCACTTATGCATACAAAATTTCTCATTGATGATGATTATAAAAGAAATTGGAGATATAGTCATTAAAAATTCTTGCTCAAGAATTGCAAATCATGATTTCAAGCACAAAGCCTGTTAACAAAGAAATTATATTCCAGAAGCAAGTACCAATTTTCATTTAGAATTATGAGTATATTTTATTTGGGAATGTTATTTAATAAAAAATGATAAATCTCATTTAAGAGATATTTTTGATGTTTGAATAATTTACATTATTATAGTAGGTAATGAATATACCAACTTTTCTGATTTTACCATCAAATATATCCTGAAAACTTCATAATACATACATTTTCAATTTAATAAATAATGCAAAATTTATGCAATCACAAACCAGTTCATAAAATAGAATATTGTAGAATATTTAATTCAGTATTTTTAGCTGTTTTGAGTGGGTGGTAGACCCAATAGCCTAGCCCAACAATATCAGAAATGACAGTTGTTAAATAGCTTATTTAGTCAACTTTGTTCTCAAATTAGATTAGGTGGTAAGGGGGCATTCACTGTACAGTGATACTTTAGGTGGATGTCTTCAGCTGTTATGTCTTCAAATATTTTTCTACCACTCCTCCTCTCTGCTGTCTGGGACTCCAATTACATATAAGGTTACTCCAATTACATAATATGATGTCTTAGGGCTCACTGATGCTCTGTTCATTCTTTTCTAGGCTTTTTTTGTTGTCTCTGGATATCATTTTGGTTACTTTCTATTGCTGTTCTTTAAGTTCACTCATCGTTTCTTCTGACGTGGTGTTAACTCCATTCAACACATTTATTTTTACATAAATTTTTTAGAATTAGATTTATAGAAGAATTGTTAATATAATACAGAGTTACTATATATTTCATATCTTGTTCCTCTTGCTATCTTAACATTAGTGTGATACATATGTCACAGTTAGTGAACCAATATTGATAATTATTGTTAAAGTCCATACTTTATCCAGATTTTCTTAGTTTTTACCTAATGTCCCTTTTCTATCCTAGGATCCCATTCGGGATACCACATTGCATTGATTAGTCATGTCTCATTGGGTTCCTCTTGGCTGTCACATTTTCTCAGACTTCCCATGTTTTGGATAACTTTGACAGTTTTGAAGAGTATTAGTCAGGTATTTTGTAGAATATCCCTCAATTGGGATTTCTAATGTTTTTCTCATGATTATTTTTGGATTCTGTATTTTTTTGGATTTGGTGTATTTTTCATTTCACACGTTGTATTTTTCAGATCAAGGAAGTCAATATGGGCCTTGTCATGCCTTGACATTTTTTTCTTGAATATATAGAATATATTAATAACAGCTCTTTTTTTTCTTGTCTGCTAATTTTAAAATATGTTATTTTCAGTATGTTTCTACAGATTGAGGTTTTTCCTCATTGTGGATTGAATTTTCCTGCTTTTTGCATGCCAAGTTTTAAGCTAGTTTTTAGTTGGATTTCCTGTTATTTTAAACATGAAATGTTGCCATATTTTTAAACTGAAATTACTCATTTGTAAATTTTTTATAAGAAAGAAAAAAAGAGATTGAAGCTTGGCTGTCACTATTGGTGATAGAAACACAAACACACTGTAATAATTGGCAGGGCTCATCGAGCACAAGCTTAAATGGGAAGTGATTAATGTCCCAGTTGTATCTGATTATTTTTTTTCTCAGTTTTCTTTCTTTATGTCAACTTCATTGAATTTCCCCAGGTTGGAGACATGGATTCAATATAAGTCAGAATATTCTTTATGGAAACACCCAAGCCCAATCCTGTGTAAGACTACTGACCCATCTGGACTACTGGTCCAGTATTAAGCCCCCAAGGTTGGTATGGAAAGGTGTGGATTGGCCTACCCATACTGATATTAGAGATGTGTTACAAAAACACAGACTAGTTTTCCATAGTAAGTCCTGAGAGATCTACTGAACAATATATTGTTTAAACTATTGAGCTGTATAAATTTTTACACAAATAAATTTTCCTTATAAAGTTTTATAAAAACATTTCAAATTATATTTTATGAGGTCTAGTTTACATATAGTAAAATATACAAATATGAGGTCTACAGCTTGATGACTTTTTACCTAAGTATAAACTCATTTAATCACCAC